TTTCCTTTAAGGGCCTACATCGGCGGCTCTGAGAGTCCCCACACCGGCGCCTCTGAGGGCCACGTACCAGTGACTCTGAGGGCCTCTTACTAGCCTCTGAGTGTCCTTGCCAGCCTATGAAGGGCCACTTTCCACTTGCAGGCCATTTTGCAGGGCCACACACATGCCAATGATGGCCCCACCAGTGTCTCTAAACCCTAAGACCCCACAACGGCGCCTGTGACGACCAAACACCAGCGCATCTGACGGCCTTTCACTGGCACCTCTGAGCGCGCCACACACCGGTGACTCTGAAGAGCTCGCTCGCTTCGCTCGCTCGTAAAATACCATGTATGTACATTAGGCATTAGTGTACAATAGGCACACTCCTCGGGCATAAATGATACTTTTACTTGCCAATTTTCCACATTTTCTCATGCAAAGACCGTTTTAAAGAGACCCGTTTGCCACTGAGACTGGACCCACCGTGCCTCCCTCCTCCCATCGAAAGGTCCTGGATACATCCTTGCCTGAGCTGACCCCCGGGCGACTCGCGGGCCCGGGGTCAGGTGACCAGCAGGTGACCCCCTCTTGGGCGAAATTCTGGGTACGTGTCCGACATGCATCGTACATAGTCCTGTTGATTTGATTCATCGGTTAAACATTAAATATAAGTTATAAGCTGGATCTCTAGACTGTGATCCCACATCGTATCAGATACCTAATGACATTTCATGTCGATGTGCCTAAAAAAATATGCGAATATACGTGAAAAAGGAGTGTTGCTACCGCTCCTACACATCCGGGCCAAACAGTGACCGGCCCCTGCTTCCAGCCACCCGGGGCCGGTCGGCCGGCCGGCAGTTATAGTCGCTGCCCGGGGCTGATTTCTGAGCGACTTGCAACAATGTTTATTAATGAAATGTTTTACTTTACGTAATAAATTAGATGATTAGGTATACCTATGTACCGGCTCTGAGTCGCATTTGAGAAAAAAAAACATGCTAGCGTAAAAATATAAATGTTTTGAAAATTAAGCTGGTTCCGAAATAATTGTTTTACTATGCATTGACAAAAGCTCGAGCCTCAAACCAACCGAAATATAACCCCATGGGCCGTATTTTTTTTTTTGGGGGGGGGGGGCCCTTCGGCATGGGGGGCCCAGTTCGAAGGTCGTGCCCCCCCCCCCATTCAAAAATCCTGTGTGCGCGCCTGGACTGAACTGAGTTCTTTACGCCTGCAGACAGCACCAAATTGACGAGGTCAAACAGTTGATATTTTCATGACATCAAATCATTCACTGAAGAGGGACGTAGTTGTCACCCTGAAAAGAAGAAGACAGCCGTTGTCAAGGGCAGAATATCAATCAGCTATTGTATGCTACAAGGTTACTGTTTTTTTCATTCTTTTTAAACACTCAAGGAATGAGTGCGGGACGTGCGATACTAAATAAACGAACAAATTGGGCAAAACTCTTTTTTTCCCTGATTTTTTTTTTCATTGGCTACCATGTAATTTACTTGGTATATCATTTCCCGAGTAGAAAAATGCATGAGAGCCAAAGGCCATTTCAGCATATACCTACTGATCTAGAAAGTGACATTACATTATATTGACAATATACTGATCATATATTGGCTATATTTTGACAAAACACTGCCCGTCTCCTTACAATATGCTGAAAGCATACTGGTAATATAACTACATACTAAATGCTGGTAGTATGTTGACAATATGCTGGTAAAATACTGACAATATTCCGGTAAAATACTGGCAATATTCTGGTAAAATACTTACAATATTCTGGTAAAATACTGACAATATTCTGGTAAAATACCGACAACATTCTGGTAAAATACTGACAATATTCTGGTAAAAAACTGACCTTTTTACCCGGATAGGGGTGGTCCACCACGCTGAAAACGGTAAATTCCTCGTCCTCTTCACTCAACAGCGGAGCATCCGCGGGTCGTCTGAGAAAAAGAGCACGAGCAACTTGATACAATTACAAACTACACAAATACAAACTTACTGAACCAGTGACAAAAAGATTGGAAGATACAGAATTCGGGCAAACATGTGGCCTTTGGCCATACTGACAAGTGTCACAAACGATCTAGACAAGTGTCTAGCTCAGTACAAACGAGTAAATGTAACCAGTGCATACAAATGCAACATACACAAATATTCATGCGCAAATACTGGCAGTAAAATCACACTAAAATGTTGTGGTAACTTCCAACAGCTGCAATTGTGCCCTGTTCAGGTACGCAGTACCTATGTACTAATTAATATTTACAGGATTTTTCAGCATACCTACTGGCTGGCTGGCTGTCCGTTATAGCTTCGAAAAAGCACATGGTAAGTTATTGCAATTAATAAATTACCTGACACGGAATACACCACAGACGACTGCTGCCAAGATGGCGACCCCGACACAGGCTCCAACGGTGGCGGCAATAAAATGCACAGTGGATTGGTGAGCCACATCGGTGGCCATCATTTCTTGTTGGCGATTTTCCACGGACACACTGCTGTTCAGCACTTCGGTCATCCAGCCTCCTGTGATCAGAATATGACGTCATATGTGCGGCAGTATCGGTTATTCATGCCGCCTGAGTGATTAGAATGACTTCATATGTGGGGCAGTATCGGTTATTCATGCCGCCTGTGATTAGAATGACGTCATATGTGGGCAATATCAGTCATCTAACCCGACTGTGATTGGAATAACGTCACTTGAGTGACTGTTTTGTTATGAAATTATGACAAAATTTTGGTGTCTGTGAAATTTAGTCAGGCATCCAGCTTATAGCATAAACAGAGAAACTACTCAAAAGTATGCTAGCAATTGGGCCACTGTCAACGTCAGTCCGACATTTAATCGCCAGTAGTCGGAGTATGACGTCACTCATGTACCGTTGGGAGTAACAAATAAACAATTGAAAACACAGAGATACAGCAGTGTTTGCATGTTATTAGAATAAACTCCTAACACAGAATACCCATATCAAGTACGCATACACATATTCCACGTGAATAATTCTAGAACGAAAAGTGACGTGCATAAATCCACACACAGCCCCATTTGTGGGTACATACGTACCCTTCGTTGGTACCAGTTGTTCGTTGCCGTTCCAGCTACTGTGGTTCAAATGTGTACCGTTGATGGGATCTGCACCCATTCCCATGTCGTCCAGAACATCTGAAAATAATGTGCCGTGTCAACACATCACACATACCTAATATAATGCATTGAAAGATTTCCTCGCATCGAAAGAAAACTAAAACAGTTTGTCAGAAAAAAAGTCTAATGACAGCTCTATTGCCCACATCACAATAGTTTCATGACCAATATCAGAGCCACTGTCAGAATGGTATACCTACCTAGTTCGTTTCTTTTTCTAAGTTCGACCCGCGACCGTCACTGTAAACGTTTCTTTGAACACAACACCATAATTGGTACCTAGCTGAATTACTGAGAAAATCGTTGGCGAACATGGATTTCGAAGACGATAAAATGTAACAATATTATATCTACCTGGCTCCTATTTCCCAGACTCGCAGCTGGGTATTTGCAACCCCACAAGGATCGAGGACTTGTTAGGAAGTATAACTGAACTAATTAATAAATCGCACGGCGTATAACGTAAAAGTATATCATCGGTGTTAGAAGCTTAATTTTGAAAAAAAATTATACTTAATGCACGGTTTCCCGTGCATAAATGGTTTTAACGCACGAGATGAGTGATTAGAGCACGAGTGTGTTAATGCACGAGTGAAACGAGTGCATTAACCCTCGCCGGACCTATTGGTTTTCTACATACGCGCCGGCCGAGGGGGGGGGGGGGGCGGGTACGACCCCCCCCCCCTCGCCGTTTCGCCCCTGGTGGAGATAGCGCGTCGCAGAAAAAACGAGCGTGTGCACCGTTACGAGACGCAGAGATTGGTATCCGATTTTAAGGTCCTAGGTCAACCGGTGACCTCTGAGGTCAGGTCAAGTGCCCCAAGAAACGGTTCAGTTTTTGGTGAATAACTTCGCCAAAAACGGCCGCAGAGCCGCGATTTTGGCAGCATCGTGCTCGCCTCGCTCAGGCGCGTCGAATTATATACTTTTTGTCCGGGTCAGGTCAACTTGGGGTTTTGACCTCAGGTCAAGGTCAGGTCAGCACCCCCAGGTCACCCAGTTGGTCGAAAGAGGTCATGTCGCATATCATTCGATTCGGCAGGTCTTCCTGAGTCCATTGGTGGCTTTCCCGACTCGCTAGCTCAATGTGATCAAGAGTTATTGACGAAAAACTAATATGACCTTGATGACGTCATAAATGACGTCACGAAAGGTCAACATTGCAAAAGTGACGCATCTAACCTTGCAAGGAGAGCATCAAATCACGATTCTGTGTGCTTGATATAGTTGGAGATCGTTCCTGGCGCCAGAATAGCAGTTTTCATTTTTCCCATTGACTTATAATGGTGAGGTCACGAAAATGACCTGACCTCATATGACCTTTAGGAAAAATCCGAGATATACAAGTTGTGAGACTCATAATGGATACTAGATCCTGCAAGTTTCATTTCCCTGTGACATCTCCTCTGGCAGTGAGGGCGTTGCGAAATTGCGACATCTGAAGACCGTGCAGAGGTTCACTTATGACGTCATAGGTCAGTGACCTGACCTGACCCAAAAATGCGGTTGGTGTCAAAAGATCCGGCTTGAATCAAAGGTCAGGTATGCCAAGTTTCAGCTCTCTATCGCCAGCGTGTTCGGAGCTATCGCGAAAAAACCCTATGGGGAGGGGCGGCACCCGCCCCCCCCCCCTCGGCCGGCGAGGGTTAACGCACGAGTGCTCTAATCACTCATCGAGTGTGTTAAAACTATTTATGCACAGGGAAACTGTGTATTAGAAATATTAATATATGCTTTAACCCGCGCCCTGGTGGGGGGGCTATTTTTTGCCCCCCCCCCCTCCAGACTTTTCGATATATCTCCAGAACCGCTGCGCCGATCGTCACCAAACTTTCAGTACCCTCCCGGACATCAATTTTACACATTGTGACTAAAAATTTTTCCAAAGGCTATGATAGGTTGGCCAGAAATGACGTCAGAGTGACGTCATGTTCTGCCGTTTTCGACACAAAAAAGGGTTTCGCGGGAAGAGCTGTCAGGCCTATAGCTTTGCAAATACAGAAAAACGGCAATGACATAAAAGCTGTAAAATTGACAGGGCTACAAAACTGCTATCTTTGATTTTTGAAATTTTTGGATTTTGACCCCTAAAAATAAAAAAAAAATATTTTTTTTTTGAACATACTAGCCGGAAAATCCAAAAAGGTTTTTGAATTACACAAAAAACGGAATATATGTGATAGCTCTTACCACCTATCCACATACCAAATTTCAGATTGATATCTCTTTTTTTGGCGAAGTTATAGCGAAAAAACTGTTCAAAATTGATGACGTCAAATTTTCAAACTCAATTTTTAGCAATTCTAGACCCCGTAGCGCAATACAAAGACCACCATTAAGGCCTGGCTACACTATGCGTTTTCTTCGTGCGTTTTTTGCGTGTTTGCGTGTTTTGCGTGATATCGTTCTAGAAAAAAGAGCGATATTACGTTTTTGTGATGTTTTTCACCTTCAATTTTAGTTACATAAGAGTTATATTAGCTTTTGTATATAACCAAAGTAAAAATTATATTGTTTATAACATTTTTTCCTAGAACGATATTACGCAAAACACGCAAACCTGCAAAAACGCTCGCAGAAAACGCATAGTGTAGCCAGCCCTTTAGACTCCCCGTGACGAGCTGCATCGAATCAATACCCATTTTATGCAAAACTATCAACTTTAAAATTTGACCTTATTTGACCTGGCCTTGACCTGACCTTCACCGGAAAGTGACCTAAGCCGTACCTGATAGTCTTATAACCAACACCATTGAGTTGGAAATGAACAATTGGCCATAAAACATGCATCGCACAACCATAGTACCTAAAGTTAGGTTCATGTGACCTGACCTGTGACCCTTGGTGACCTGACATGTGACCTGACCTGGTATTGTCAGTGACCTCTTATAGCAACATATGTACTAGGCACCTGACGCCCTATCGCTGATTCTCGACAAAATGCGTTTTCTTCGGTGTTATAGCGCATTCCCTAGAAGACCCGTGAACGGTGAAACATTTCATCTTTGACCTGACCTGTGACGTCATCGGTGACCCCGAGGTCAATGAAATTTGGTTTCCTTCGACAAATTTGACAGGGCTATCGAACGCCGTTTGAATTTTGCGGATCCGTCCAGTAGTTTCGGAGATACGAGGGGGGGGGGCAAAAAATAGCCCCCCCCCCCACCAGGTCGCGTTATAAACAGACCCCACCAGGGCGTGGGTTAAGGTGCAATTCCAGGCAATCGCCATGCTAAAGGGCTTTTATTTTGGGGCTACAGGGCTTGGTGTTTTAGGGATATAGAAAATTGTGAACGCATGCTTACACGATAGCAGCACTCTGAACTGTTAATTTTTTTTTTGTGCAGTGTATGGTCATGCGATAAATCGTCTCATTATTGACGAAGTTCGATAACGAAAATATATCAATTTGTTTGATAATAGGCGTGCGTTAATATATATTAACACATGGTTTCCCGTGTGTAAATGGTTTTAACGCACGACGTGGATGGATTGGAGCACGAGTGTGTTAATGAACGAGTGAAACGAGTGCATTAACGCACAAGTGCTCCATTCCATCCACGAGTGCGTTAAAACCATTTATGCACGGAAACCATGTGTTAAACTAATTAATACATGCTTAACGGTGCGAATTTAAATTAAAATAAACTTAATCCATGACACTAAATGGGCCTGTTGTGGGAATTCTTAAAAATAAAGTCAATGACCCTTCCGAAAAACTTCAGTCGAGAAATTCATCAATGCACGCGCGTGCACCAATTTAAATTGGTGCACGGCTACCTTCGAATTAACGCACGGTTAATCTCCAGTGAACGCACCGTAAAGTATGTATTAATTTCGATTAACGCACACTGAATTTCATTAGAGCACGCTCGTGGCAATAAAGCACTGGCTCTCCCAAATTCGACAACTTCGAATCCCCAGTGAACGCACCGCAAAGTATGTATTAATAGTTCATATCTCCAATAGAAAGTGCGTACCAAGTTTTGTCAGTAATTCAGCTCGCAATTATCGTGCTGTTTCCAAAAAGATGTTTACAGTGAGTGTCGAACTTAAAAAAAAAACGAACTGTAATAGTTGTTTTCACCACGGCCATCCGGTACACATTTAGTGCAGATCAGGTGTAAATTTGGTGCAGATTTGGTCAAATCAGGTTCAGTGTGCCTCTTAACCCGCGCCCAGATGGGGTCTGCCGAGCAACGCGGTCTGATGGGGGGGGGGGGGGGCCATTTTGGCCCCCCCCTCAGATCTCGAGAACCACGCAACATAGCGACAAGCGGTAAACGGTGTTGGATAGCCCCAACAGGGAACTACCTTGTGACCCAATTTCATTGACCTCGGTCAAACCGATGACGTCACAGGTCAGGTCAAAGGTCGAATTTTCACCGTTTACAGGCATTTCAAGAAATGCGTTGTAAAATCGTGTAAAATGCATTTCATTGAAAATCATCGATGGGGAAATGTTCTTCAAACACATATTTTGCTATTTGAGGTCACTGATACCAGGTCAGGTCACAGAGGTCAGGTCACTGGGGGGTCACAATATGAAAGTGTCGTGTGATACATGTTTTATGGTCCATTTTACATGACAAATGCGATTATGTGGGTCAGACAGACTTTAGGGCCAGCTTAGGTCATGTTTTGGTCAAGGTCAGGTCAAGGTCAGGTCAAATTAGGTCAAATTTCAAAGTTGATATTTTTGCATAAAATGGGTATCGATTCGATGCAGCTCGTCACGGGGAGTTCAATGGTGGTCTCCGTTTTGCGCTACGAGGTCTAGAATTGCTAAAAATTGAGTTCAAAAATTTGACGTCATCAATTTTTAACAGTTTTTTCGCTATAACTTGGCCAAAAAAAGAGATATCGATCTAAAATTTGGTATGTATATCGAAGAGCGCAGGGACTATCACATATATTCCGGTTTTTTCGAAATTCGAAAAATTTTTGGAAATTTTTTGAGTTTTTCTAAAAAAATCAATTTTTTTGATTTTTGGGGGTCAAAATCCAAAAATTTCAAAAATCCGAGATAGCAGTTTTGTAGCGCCGTTTTTTCTCTACACAACCACATAAAGAACTTTAAAATTGCTTGTGAACTGTAGAATTGGTGAGCGTTTCAAGATGTCATGTTTTTTGCTCATTTTTACTCGAACATGACCTCAGTTTGACCTCAATAACTCCTGACCTGAGGTGACCTGTGACTTGAAATTTTGTGTGAAGGTGTCAAATTGATGTCCGGTAAGGTACCCAAAATTTGGCGGCGCTGCGCACCGCCGTTTTCTCGCTATTTAAGAAAAACCACAGGGGGGGGCCAAAATGGCCCCCCCCATCAGGGCGCGGGTTAAAAGCTATCAGTTTGGGTTGCACAGATGCATATGCATCTTTTTTCAAATTAATATATATTTAATTGCCCGGTCCCTATATATTTAATTGCCCGGTCGATACGGTCGCTTTTTTTATAGTACATTTTTGCCACCGACGAATGTTAAAAAAGTTCAGTTAAATTTTTGCATAAAGGTGGCCTGCTGAAAGCCAGAAGCGCGAGAGACGGTTAATTCGGACCGGGCAATTAAATTTATTATAGTAAATTTTTGGCACCGAGCACCAACGCATCTCTGAGAAAGGGTTCGCTTTTGGGCTTCGACATCAAGGAGGGGCGCGGAAGATGGAGGGGGGGGGCAGCAAATGGGTAAAGCTTTGGGCGTATAATGAAAATTATTGCCAATGGACTTAAACACACGATGGGCGAATAACGAAATTAATCTACCACTTGGTCTCAGTATACCTATACAAATTGCTAATTGCCTACCACGTCGTATTTTGCTTGAAATTCATCCCTCATTCCTCAGATATTTCCTGGTGAACATGCCAGACCCGTCTGTTACTTTTATTAGACATTCATGCTACGAAGCAATTGCGAGTGAGGAGTTAGGCGTTGCGGAGACATGCTTTGTCCTCATTAGTGGGAAAATGTCGTTGCGTTCCCTCCTCTTTTCTATATTTTGACATCCAATATCCATGAAGGTATGATATCAAACGTCGATCTTACTACGAACACTCGCTCCTGGCAGTGCTATTCTTCCCGTTTTGTAAGGGTCATCTTCAATTGCTATTTTCACTGGCTCTTGAGAAAGCCTCGAAAATGTGCCTCGAAATCTGCCTTCTAAATTTCTGCGTAACCTGCTAAGCCATCTCTTTGAAATACATACGATAAGTCATTACATTAAGGCTCAAGGGCGGATCTAGGGGGTCGTTTTGGGGGGGGTCACCAGTCGGCCGACATCCCAGGTCTGGTGAATGAATTCTGACGACCGGGGGGGGGGGGGGGGTAGGGAGCGAGTATGTCGAGATCAAAAAATGACATTTGATCTTCGTCGTTTATAAGATGAAGTTTTATCGTAAGTCACTCGGCTCAGTAGTTTTAGTTAGTGAAACCCACCTATATAGGAGCGTCGCCACGGATTTTTTACTGGGGGGGGGGGGGGAGGCGGGTCGACCGACTTAAAAACCCAGAAGTAGATATAGTTACCTCACTTTTAGCCTAATGCATTAGTAAATAGTAGCATACAGTCACGATCTCTCTTATTGACCTGTGTATGAATCGGCGGCGCGAAGCGCCGCAAAAATTTGCAAAAAAAAGTTGTCAAAACACAGCTCTAAAACACAAATATTACAACCTTTTTAGCATGCTAGTACAAGCCGGAGTTCCTTCACAGTACACATATGAATTCCGATTCAATTTGACACGGTTGGTGTTATTACAGTCACTGTTATTTCTCTCTTATTGATTGGTGTATAAATCGGCGGCGCGAAGCGCCGAGAAAATTTGCAAAAGAATGTGTCGAAACACAGCTCCAAAACACAAATTTTACCACCCTTTTAGCATTGCAGTACAAGCCGGAGTTCCTTTACAGCACACATATGAACTCTGATTCAATTTGACACGGTTGGTTTATGTAATTACAGTCAAGATTTCGTATTGACCTGTACGTATGTACATAAATCGGCGGCGCGAAGCGCCGCGAAAAATTTGCAAAAACATTTGTCAAAACACAGAGGGGGCCTCCTCTCTACAGAGGACCACCGATCTCTACTGCGGGCCTCCTCTTTTCACAGGGCCTCTTAACTACAGAAGCTACAGGGCCTCCTCTCTACAGAGGGCTTCCTCTCTACTGAGGGTCTCTCCCTTTAAGAGGGCCTCCTTTACAGAGGGCCTCCTCTCTTCAAAGAGCCAGAGGACCTCATCTCTGCAAAGGGCCTCCTCTCTTCAGAGGGCCTCTTCTCTACAGAGGGCCTCCTTTCTTCAGAGGGCCTCTTCTCTACAGCGGGTCTCCACTCTTCAGAGGGCCTTCTGCATTCAGGCGGTCTCCTTTCCACAGAGGGCCTCCTCTCTACACAGGGCCTCCTCTCTACATAGAGCCTTCTCTCTACAGCAGGTCTCCTCTCTACAGAGGGCCTCCTCTTTAAAGGGGTCTCCTCTCTACAGGGGGCCTCCTCTCTACTGAGGGCCTCCTTTCTACAGAGGACCTCCTCTACAGAGGGCCTCCTACCTACTGAGGAGTCAGAGGGGCCCTAGCGGTCAGACACAGACACTAGCGGTTATTCACTGGAGGCCCCAGGAAGTAAGAAGGGCCCTAGCTGTCAGGCTGGTCAGAGGGCCCTGAATGTCCTGACGTGATTTTTGGGATTCCCGTGAATTTCTTTCGCCTCAGACGTGATTTTGACCTGCCAGGGCCCAGGGGCACTAAAAATAAAACAAACAAAATAAAAAATGAAAATAGGACATCACCAAAATTAAGTGACCGAAATCCGTTGAGTTTTTAATTTTGCGTATAGGTAGGGGCACCACGAATTAAATTCATGACCATCCCCTTGGAGTTTTCCTGGATCATCCCCTGGTGCTCGCACGGTTGAGACAAAAACGAGTAAGATTCTGGTCTTCAATACGCCTTTTCACGCAACACGATCCAGAAAAACAAAGGTATTAGCTCAGAAGTGTTTGACAGGTGATTTTGAGCATGCAAGACGGCGTCTATAGCGCATTTAGGTCTTCGGCTTTTGGGGGGGGTCAAATGACCCTCTCAGACCTTTTGGGGGGGGTCATGACCCCGTGGACCCCCCCCAGGATCCGCCAGTGTTAAGGCTGTGTTCTTTCCAAAATTTACCTGTCAACCTATTTCGCAATTTATTTTATTCCAAGCTGCAAGCTTCTATGACCGGACTTTTATTGAAGTTTCAGTCATGGAACGCATTGTTTAACAGGGAGCTTTTGAAGAGAAGAAAACTGCCGTATAATGAAATTAACCGCCGTGTTTTTATGCATGGGTTTCGATAGACATTTCCGAGTTTTGGCGTCGACTGAAATTAACCGTCTCTCGCGCTTCTGGCTTTCAGCAGGCCACCTTTATACAAAAAATTAACTGAACTTTTTTAACATGCGTCGGTGGCAAAAATGTACTATAATAGACATTATTTGATATCAAAACACTAAAGTAAAATGATGATATAAAGATGTTTATTGTGAAAGTGATTTGGTGCAGATTTGATCAAATTAGGTTCATTCGCCAGATAGCCCGACGTAAAACAGCTAATAGGCGTTTTCACGACGGGCTATCCGGCGAATGCACCTAATTTGACAAAACCTGCACCTAATCTTTTTTACAGCAAATATCTTCCAGTGTTTTATTCCAGTGTTTTAATCGATGATACTCTCTGATAATATGAAAAAGGAGGCATATAAGCAATTAGTGCAATCCTAGCTCATAGCTTCTAAGAGATGCACTGAACCTAACTTGACCAAATCTGCACCTAATCTAATATGCACCAAATGTGTATCAGATGGCCGCCGTGAAACGGCTAATATCGCCCCCACATCATCTTTCTCACCTTTATGCACCAGCACATCTCTATGTAGACCGGCTGTGCTGCTGTTGACATGCAGCACACTGTGTGTGCTATTGTGCTCCAGCACAGTAGCGTGTACGTCATGTGTGGAACCCTCGTGCTCCATCTCTCCGTGTGTCTCGTTGTGGAGGTGAACGTGAAGAGCGTCGTCGGGAAGTGACGTCATCGGTGGAGCCGTGACGTCAGTGGTGGCGCCAGGCCGTGCTGGAAATGGGAACAGAAAGGTGGGCTAGTTTACAAAATTGAAAGTCAATGGGGAAGCGTAAACCGTTTTTATGTCAAGCGATATGATAATTTTTAGATCAAGCAATATAGCAGTACGTTTTTAGGGGTATGGGATGCTTCAAATAAACAAGATTTTGGCATTGATTTTTAAAATTGGTTGAAATAATAAATGACATAGTAATGCGAGGCTCTGCAGCCTAAAAACCGTGAAAAGTGTACCTAATGCTCGTACCAATTATATCTTATACTTTCGCTGAACAACCAGATAGCGTTCAGAGCTGTAAAAAAGTTTTTTTTTAACAGCTATTCACATAATATTGCAACTTGAAATATCTGCAATAACACCTTCATAACTAAATTTCATTTCAGTCCCCCTCTGAGCAAATCCCTGACTACGCCCATGCTCTGTACTAGATGTGACGTCACCAACGACGCCATGTTGTTTGAAGCATTGATAGCAGCATTGATAACAGCATGCCGAAACCCTTACATCAAGCATCAGCCTTGTTATCTCGCCCACCCACGCTGGTCGGCCTGGCAGTAGATTGATGTCCACTTCCGAATATGCTGCTACTGGCATAACATAAAAGTTGACCCACGCTAGACTCAGACCCATTTTAGCCCCCTTCAACTCTAATCGGTCCAGATTTTGATAAAATATGCCAAAAACACTTCATTTATCTCTCACTCAAAGGATAAGAGCGAAACACAGATTGTTTGGAAAACATCAAATGTCTGTCTACCAGCAGCAGATTCACGGACATCAGTTTACCGCCAGATTGACAAACGTCACGCACCCATTAGTTGGAGAAATGTGAGGCTCAGGATGTTCGAACAGCACAAATGGTGATGATATTGACCAATAACATGACACTTGAGAAATACTTCTCAAATACATCTCACTGCCATGTTATTGGTCAACTTCATCACCATATTTGATTATTTGATCATGGCAAAACCGACCATTTACATCAAGATGTTCGAACATCACAAACCCGCCGCCCCAGCGTGCCGTCCGTTGCGGTTCCAAAGCCAAATCGGCACGTGCGAGCACCCACAGGTCTGAGCAGTTCTGAATTATCCAATATGTACTCACTAGTGATGTCAATTACGGAAAATCGGAATACCGATACCAAACCAAATACCCATCAACCAAAACCATGGGGAAATACCGAAACCAAACCAACTTGGGAACATGACAGAAATACCAACTATTTACCGATTTCTTAGCCTCTTATACATACATTAGTGAAGATTCATAATACAAACAAAATACCAAACACATCAGGATTGAAATACCAAATACCAAGTTGGTATCGGTTTAGTATCGGTGTACCCAAAAGTTGGTATCCGATTGACATCTCTAGTACTGACCGTTGTCACTCTATGTAGTCTCCACATTGTAGGTACGTACTCACCTATTAGAGCCAGAAGTGTGAGAGGCCACAGCATGTCTGCTCTACTTCCTCTTGTAGCCATCTCTGACTTCCAGCTGTGGCTAGTCTTCCAGGAGAATGAGGACGTCTCTAATCGCTCTATACTGAAGAGGCGTTCTAGACGTCCTGACAATGTCTAAGAACACTCGCTGCTTGCCGTGATGACTCGCTTTAACCACTTATTACTACGGCGTGTTATCACTGAAGTCAGCTGGTTGATCCTTCTTGGAATTCTTCTTTGCTTTTCGCTCGACCCTAATGTCGTCACTAGCTGATTGTTTTCGTCAATGCACTGGTATCTGCTTGCGTTTCGTTGATTGCCGCCGTTAGTGTCGGCACTTGAATGCCTTCTGTTGGATGCTGACCGTCGTTAGAAATGTTTTGCTCACACTTGTAGACCTATAGTGAAGATGTAACCAGACTAGTCTCATGAGCTCAAGGTGTATGATACTCCGATACACCAATGGAGTTACAGTGTCAAATATTCACATTTCACAATAGCTCACTGTTAATCACTGCATTGCTGTTGCTAATACTGATCACTCTTTAGGTACTAACCACTGCACTCACTGGCGGTCGCAGCCGCTAGCAAAAGGGGGGGCCAAAGTCACACTCGCGGGACATAACATTTATCCGTCACCGGGAGGGGGGGGGGGGGGTGATCGGCTAATTTTTTACGTCCACGAGGTGCCGCGCAGTTGGCATTACTTATGCTTCATCCATCTGATTCTTGCGTGAAATTTTTAAGCTCAATTTAAGGCAAAATCACCAGTTCCATTTCCCGCCCCACGGTGCTTCCACCGGTCGGCCCACTGCACCATGACGACGGATCGGTGTAGCATAGGTATACTGGAAGGTCAGGCACGCGGATTCATGACCTTACCACTATAAAACAATTCGGAAAAGTACAGATACCTCTTGCTTTGAACAAGCATGTGAAACCCAGAGAGCATTTTCAGACTATGACATTTACTCATATAGGTAACATACCTAGTTGTGTGGCGGCGGGAGAGAGTAGGTACACCGACCGACCTCTGGAGACCCCCCACAGGTTCCAAGCTTTCAAAATTGGCATCTGAGGGCCGCGCGCGACTCCTGCGGGGCTTCGCAGCGGCTCTATTGGGGCTCACTCAACCTGCCTAGTCTTACTGCTAAAAAGACTGGCCCTGAGCCCTAAGGACTTCATCAGTCTCTGCCAGCCCCAGGACCCACACCGGCTCATGGGGTCCCGACGTCGAAATATGAGGGAATCTGCGCCGGACCATCAGGACGCTAAGTAATCTCGATCAGGACCAACGTAAGGCTGTGCCGGAGACTGCGTGAGCCCTCTGATCTTCAGAAACCCACCCATATATGTTTTCACGTAGAGGCCAGTTTAGGGCCCTCAGAGACCAGTACAGGGCCTGCAAACTACAAAGGCCAGTAGTTTGAGACAATCAGTGACCGAGTTGGGCTCTCAGAGGCTAATGTGGGTTATTACAGGCCAACATGGGCCCTCAGAGGTCAGCGTGGGGCCCTAAAAGACCGGCATGAGCCGTCGTTGGACCCCAGAGGCCAGCAGAGGGCCCTCAAAGGCCAAGATGGGCCCTCCTCAAATGCCAATGCAGGCCCTTAGAGGCCGGCATCGGGTCTCCAGCAGCCAGTGCGGGGCCCTCATTGGCACCTTAAGGTTCGTCTTGGGACACCACAGACAGAAATAAGGCCACCAGAGACCGGTGTGAGACCCTCAGACGCCGGTTGGGACCCCTGAGGCCTGTTAGGGGCCCTCATAGGCCAGATGTGGGGTCTCAGAGGTTGATGTAGGCTCTTAGCGGTCAACGTGGGCACTTGACCGCCACTGAAGTTCCCTCAGAGGTCAGTGTAGGACGCTCAAAGACCGGTGTGGGAGCTATATTAATAGCTGGGCGTGGGTTTTTTGAGCTTCGTGACGATCGAATAATTGCCAGGGCCCCATACACCTATATGGGGGCCCATTGGTTGTTTGAGGGGGGGGGGGGGCAAATGATATGATGGCCCCCTTTATTGACCTTGGGGGGGGGGGGCATGGCCCTGATGCCCCCCCCGCGACCGCCACTGTGTACACATTACACACATGCCTCTGAGATTACATACTAGCTCATGCAAACTCTATGCAGGCCCCGGAGTTCCCACGCTAATCCTTAACCCTCGCCGGCCGAGGGGGGGGCGGGTGCCGCCCCCCCCATAGGGTTTTTTCGCGATAGCTCCGAACACGCTGGCGATAGAGAGCTGAAACTTGGCATACCTGACCTTTGATCCAAGCCGGATCTTTTGACACCAACCGCATTTTTGGGTCAGGTCAGGTCACTGACCTATGACGTCATAAGTGAACCTCTGCACGGTCTTCAGATGTCGCAACTTCGCAACGCCCTCACTGCCAGAGGAGATGTCACAGGGAAATGAAACTTGCAGGATCTAGTATCCATTATGAGTCCCACAACTTGTATATCTCGGATTTTTCCTAAAGGTCATATGAGGTCAGGTCATTTTCGTGACCTCACCATTATAAGTCAATGGGGAAAAATTCAAACTGCTATTCTGGCGCCGGGAACGATCTCCAACTATCTCAAGCACACAGAATCGTGATTTGATGCACTCCTTGCAAGGTTAGGTGCGTCACTTTTGCAATGTTGACCTTGCGTGACGTCATTTATGACGTCATCAAGGTCAAATTAGTTTTTCGTCAATAACTCTTGATCAAATTGAGCTAGCGAGTCGGGAAAGGCACCAATGGACTCAGGAAGGCCTGCCGAATCGAATGATATGCGACATGACCTCTTTCGACCAACTTCGTGACCTGGGGGTGCTGACCTGACCTTGACCTGAGGTCAACACCCCAAGTTGACCTGACCCGGACAAAAAGTATATCATTCGACGCGCCTGAGCGAGGCGAACACGATGCTGCCAAAATCGGCGCTCTGCGGCCGTTTTTTGCGAAGTTATTCACCAAAAACTGAACCGTACCCTGGGGCACTTGACCTGACCTCAGAGGTCACCGGTTGACCTAGGACCTTAAAATCGGGTACCAATCTCTGCGTCTCGTAACGGCGCACACGCTCGTTTTTTCCGCGACGCGCTAGCTCCACCAGGGGCGAAACGGCGAGGGGGGGGTCGTACCCGCCCCCCCCCTCGGCCGGCGCGTATGTAGAAAACCAATAGGTCCGGCGAGGGTTAAGAAACCAAGCTGGCATACGGCGTCACCACCGGGCTTCTGAGGTGCACAGCACCAACCCATGACGTCTTACTTTAGTGTCTTAGAGCCAATCTCCTTTAGCAGGGCCCACCCACCACTGCCGAAGAGGGCCAGCCATTGCTGGGCCTACGAGAGCCTCAAGTAAACCCACGCTGATATTCCATATAAGATCCGGCCATACTCGTGAACCGGTGCCAGCGACGCTGACCACCAAATTGACAGAATGCGAAACTGAGCCCTCATGAGTGAAATTTACGTCCTTTGATGGCGCAAGAAAGAAAATGAAACATACGAAAAGCTTTTCTAGGACTTTTGTTCGATCTGAAAGGTGGGGCCAAAAGATAGTATGGCCCCACCTTTCAGCACCAAAGGGGGGGCCATGGCCCCCGTGCCCCCCCCCCCCTGGGACCGCCAGTGACTGCACTGCATTCACTGCACTGCAGTGCACTCAATATTGGTTTTTCAGTGTAGTGTAGGAGTGATCTAGTCAGTATCCTTGTGATTAGTGTCAGTTTCCTATGCCTAGAGACAGGTTTACGACTTTGTATCGTTAGAAGATTTAGTTTTTTTTTTTCACCAGTGTGTCATCTACAACATTTCCGAAGCTAAAAGCGGAAAACCAGTTTTGTACGTAGCTTATAGCTGATGGCTCGCGCATACATGAGTTGCACGCTGACTCCTGATTGCTTTCGAAGCGGTACTTTATACCAAGCTTAGCGAACTCTGTGAAACTATGTGTAACACGAAAATATCTACGAAATCAAATTCCTAGATGTTCTCACTACTCCCTAGTGACAGTGATTCTACAACTCTAGCGACAACCGACAGCACTTCTAGTCCCTACGGACAGCACTTCTAGTCCCATACCGCCAGCACTTAGTCCCTTGCAACAGCACTTCTACTCTCTAGCAACAGCACTTTGAGTCCCTAGTAACAGCATTTCTACTCTCTAGCAACAGCACTTTTAGTCCCTAGTAACAGCACTTCTACTCTCTAGCGACAGCAATTCTAGTCCCTAGTGACAGCAATTCTACTCCCTAGCGACAGAGATTCTACTCCCTAGCGACAGAGATTCTACTCCCTAGCGACAGCTCGAATTGCTGTCGCTACTCCCTAGCGCCAGCAATTCTACTCCCTAGCGACAGCAATTCTACTCCCTAGCGACAACACTTCTATAGTCCCTAACGATGGCATTTCTACTCTCTAACTATAGCACTTCTAGTCCCTAGCGACAGCACTTCTACTCCCTAGCGACAGCGATTCTACTCCCTAGCGACAGCAATTCTACTCCCTAGCGACAGCACTTCTAGTCCTAGCGACAGTATTTCTAGTCCTTAGACGATAGCACTTCTAGTCTCTAGCTATTGCGGTCAGCACTGACTAACGCGTATATCTGCGAGATCGACACTGTTAAACGGTAACACTACATTATTTCTTCTGATCGTTCAATTGCCAGGGCCTATCCAAAGTTGCGTCGCTAACACTAATATAGCTTTAGAGCGCTAAAGCTGCATCGGTACTAGTCAACTATAGCCCTACCATGAGTCAATAAGGCTTTGTTTTGTTTCATCCACCCACCCACTCAAACACTCATACGTTACATATTTGACACGCTTAGGGATTCCTCTTGTTCCTCGCGCTCAATTCTCGATTGGGCCAAGTTAACTGCGTCAACCATCATTTGGTACCTACGTCGTCTAGCTGGCCCATCAACTAAATCAACCAGTGCTTTCAAACCGACACGCATCGTGCGCAAAACTTCAATCAGGGTCCACAGTAATTCACGGAGAGTCCACAAAATCACACATATCGTCCTCAGAACGTCACAAACCGTGATACAGAGCGTCGTCAGTGCTACCCAGAGTGTACTCAGCACGATGTTATAGTTACTCAGTGCCGCATAAAACCCGACACAGAGTGTCCTTAGTACCTTAAAACCATAGAGCATTGAGAATAAACTGCACTATCCGAAGCATAACGAAAATAAGTGCAGTAAAGAAGAAGAATGACAACGGATCATCTTGCTTTGTTTTGATCGAAAGGAATAAAGACAAGATATGTGCAATCGCGAATAGCACTTTTTCATTAAATGTCAATGGATCAGCAAATACTGGCATTGTGATTATCGGTGTCGATTAACCCTCGCCCGCACATGCCATTTTCCCATCCTAGAACGCACATGGGGGGGGGGGGGTAGTTGCCAGCCCCCCCGCGCCATTTCGTTCCTGTTGGAGATAGAGCTTAGCAGTAAAGACCAAAAAGATTCTTTGGGAAGAGACGAATCCAATGCTACCCAATTTTACCTTCTCAGGTCAGTCATTGACCTTCCAGGTCAGGTCAAACTAAAAAATGTTGCTGTTTTGGGTCACCGTTGGATATCAAGTGTGCTGCTTATCAAATACCGATGACGATGC